GCGCGCGGGCAGTAGGCAAGGCAGGTAGGGTAACACAGTTAGGTGGGCCCGATTCTTAGGTCCTAGAGACCTCCTGCTCTAGTTACCATGTTTAAGACTACGTCATAGGGGAATGATGTTGATTAGGTGAAGATTGGGGTGCAAGACTAGGGTGTCGAGATTGTTTGTGTACCCTCTAAGGCTAACCCCAATACAGCCTAGATAATAACAAGCATATCTTTTGACACTTTGCATATTAAGCTCAGACAAAGCCTCCTACACTGGCTTTAATTCATACAAAGACTTCCGCTACAACAGGAAGCTACCATCCTAAGTATATGATCCTACTCAATCACTTCAAATTCGAACATGGTATTGCGAGCGTCTTAGGATTCTTTAAGCTTCCAACTACATACTCTGCAACTATGTCTGGTTCTCCACGATCCCACAATGGGTCTTCTGTTACGAGCCCATCACGCTCATCAGCGTCTCCAATTGCTGACAATTCTCATCTGCAGCAACATCAGCAACAACAATATCAGCAACAACCGATGTACGGCATGCCACTGAGCAATCAGTCCGTACACACAACCGCAGCAGCGGCATCAGCGGCAGCAGCCGCAGCAACAGCAGCATCAGCAGCCACAACAGCTGCAGCTGTAGTAACTGGTTCTACTAATCAACCAGGACAATAGTCTAGTTTCGTACCGACTGGACTATATCAATATCAAGGGGCTTACCAGCCAACGAATCTTCAACAGCGCGTCGATGCTGCCGTCTTATCACTCAACCAGATGTTTCCAAGTGCTATGAGCCTTGATGGTTCCAGTTATCAGCATGGACAGTTACCACAAGGGAGCGACGGGTCAAATAACTCCTTCTCATTTGTTCCTGGTGGACAAGGACAACAAGCATCGCAAGGATCACAGATGCCATCACTTTATCAGTTACAGTCAGCCAACGGCACCGGAAGTTATCTTCCTACCTCTGCAAACCCAACAAAGATGAAAACGACAATACCATTTAACGGTCAAGATTTTTATAACTGGAGTTTCGAATTCGAGCTTCTTCATCAAACTGCGGGATTCTGGCAATTGTTCGACGGTACAGCACCCTTCCATCCCGCGGCTCACCCCTTCAACAGGCCACTTTTCGATCGGCGTCGCTGACTGCATACACTGTTCTCATTCGCAATATGACACCGACTGAACAGCTTGGTATTCGTCCTTTTCGTACCAGTACCGCTTCCGCTGAAGCAGCTTGGTCATACCTGCAGGGAGTTTACATGGCAAAGGACACCGTCAACCAGAGCAAAATCTTAACGCAACTGTCAAGCATACAGATGATAAACGACGAGAAGGTGACGCAGTTTATCAACCGCGCTCGAAATCTGCGCCACCAGCTTCAGAAGTGTGGAGGATACTTCCCCGACGCTATGTTTCACACGGTGCTACTCGCGGGTCTTGGACCAGAATGGCAGCAGTGTCGCTCCATTCTTCGAATGCAGGCAACGTTGTCTGAAGGAGCACTTTGTGCCGCTCTCATCGCCAAACAGTAGGATATGGACCTGCACAACGCTCGAGGAGGAAAAAAGGTGGTTAATAACATAGTCAGCTTTTACTCTACTCCACATCACAAGCTCGTGTGTTCTTTTTGCCGTAAAGCAGGTCATACCATTGATACCTGCTGGTCGAAGGATAAGCCGTCTTGGAAGCGGTCTGCACACACAAAAAAATCTTCAGGTGACACTGCGAAGCCGGACGCTGCGAAGCCGGACGCTGCAAAGCCGAACCCTGCGACGCCGCCTGCTACACCTGTCAAGACACAAGTCATTAATTGTATGACGTCAGTTTCTACCGTCTACGATCCTGAAGCCGAAGACCGTATTCATAATAGCTTCAACGATGAACTCAATACGCCTATACCACCCGAGGTCTACGCCAACCTTGCACATACCTTGGTGTCAAGCTTATATATGCTATAGTCTGTTTAGGCTGTAGTGGGGTAGTTGTTATAGGGTACAACACTTTTAGGTTTCCTACTTGTACCCAACTCCTTCCTAGTTCATTCATTCCTCTCATTATTCTCACATGGTATAGAGCAGGTTCCCTAGTGGGACCGTTTTTTTTTTAAGGGCCCACCACTACGCATTTTTTTTTCCTTACCTGCCCGAAGCGCGCTTCGCATTTGTCCTAGCTGCGCCCCGTGCGCCTGCCCTTCGAGGCCCTTAGTGCCCCCCCCCCCTTTTCGCGGCCCGTCGCGGCCCCTTCGCGGCCCTTAGCGGCCCCTCATACGGCCCTTCGCGGCCCCTTCGCGGCCCTTCGCGACCCCTTTCGCGGCCCTTCGCGGCCCCTTTCGCGGCCCTTTGCGGCCCCTCGCAGCCCTTCGCGGCCCCTTTTGCGGCCCTTCGAGGCCCCTTCGCGGCCCTTCGCGGCCCCTTCACGGCCCTTCGCGGCCCTCTCCGAGGCTCTTCGCGGCCCCCCTAAGCGGCTCTTCGCGGCCCCTTCTGGCCCCTGCTGGCGCGCCCCTACCGGCCCCTGCTGACGCGCCTCTGCTGGCCCCTGCTGACGCGCCCCTACTAGCGCGCCCTTGCCGGCCCCTGCTGACGAGCCCTTGCCGGCCCCTGCTGGCGCGGCCCCTGCTGGCGCGCCTCTGCCGGCCCCTGCTGACGCGCCCCTGCTGGCGTGCCCCTGCCGGCCCCTGCTGACGCGCCTCTGCCGGCCAATGCTGACGCGCCCCTACTGGCGCGCCCCTGCCGGCCCCTGCTGACGAGCCCCTGCCGACCCCTACTGGCGCGGCCCCTGCAGTCACGGCCCGCGCCAGCACCCGTCTCTGGTAAGCCGAGCCGCGCCGCCCAGCCGAGCCGCGCCGCCCAGCCGAGCCGCGCCGCCCAGCCGAGCCGCGCCGCCCCCACCGAGCCGCACTGCCCTACCGAGCAGCACTGCCTTGCACTGCCCTGCTGCTACTGCTGCTACTGCTGCTACTGCTGCTACTGCTCCTACTGCTGCTATGGCTAGTCCTACCGTTCTCACCTTTGATGCGGAGGGACGTGCAGTTGACTTTGACGTGTGGGTTGACGACCTACAGCTCTTTCTTCAGTGTGATTCTAGGGATGGGGTATCCCTTTTCGATCACACGTCCGGTGTTTCCACTGCTCCTGCTGCCACTGCTGACAGTATTGTTCGCTCGCAGTGGACCACTCGTGACTCTGTTGCTCGTCTTGCTGTTCGTAGTCACCTGCCGCCTGCTGAGCGCGCACACTTTGGCCAGTACAAGACTGCTCAGTCTTTGTACGACGCTGTAGTTGCACGCCACTCCTCCCCTGCCACTGCTGCCCTCAGCCGCCTCATGCTGCCGTACCTTTTCCCTGACCTTGCCGCCTTTGCCACAGTCGCTGACCTAGTTGCTCACCTTCGCACTAGTGACGCCCGCTACTGCGCTGCCCTTCCCACTGAGTTCTGTACCAAGAACCCCCCCCCATGTACATCACCCTTTACTAACTAGTCACCCGTCTCCCTGACTCCCTCTCTTCAGTCAGGGACCACTTTCTCTCCCTTTGCCCCACCGAGCTGACTGTCGACCTGCTAGAGGAGCGCCTTGTTGCAGCTGAGAAGAGTATCTTAGCTGTAGGTGCTTCTCGCGGCGACCGTCGCACCCCCTTCTTTGAGGGGTGTTCCCCTGTCCCCCTTCTCCCCTCTGTTGCTTCTGCTGCTGCTGTCGACCTCGTTGGCACTGAGGAGGTCGGAGCTGCGTCTGCCCCTAGTGGGAGATGCCGCAACAGCAAGGGCAAGGGGAGCAAGGGTGGTGGAGGGGGCGGCGGGGGAAGCAGTGGAGGAGGTGGAGGCGGCGGCGGAGGTGGCGGTGGAGGTGGGGGTGGTACTGGGAGTGGGGGCGTCAGTGGCGGCGGTGGAGGTCGTGGCGGCGGTGGCGGAGGTGGTGGAGGCAGCGGCAGCAGTGGTGGAGGTGGCGGCGGAGGTGGTGCTGGTCGAGGTGCAGCCGCTCAGCGTGGAGGCTTTGGTGGCAGCCAGCGCCAGCAGCAGCTGCGCACCCGTGAGACCCCGTCGGTTCAGCAGCTTCGTGAGTGGTACGCTGGGCGTGGGAGGTCTGGGGGTGCAGGTCCCTGCACTTACGTTCTTCGCACCGGCACTCGTAGTGGGGAGGTGTGTGGGCTCCCACACACCACGCAGCACTGCTTCGGTCGCTTGACTGACGCTTGGCGTACCCAGTTTCCTGACGCCGTTGAGCTCCCTCGCTGGCATGATCTGCTTCTGCAGAATGTGCCTATCTTTGATCTAGATTTTGATGCTATCCTTGCTGCCATGTATGCTCTTGCTGATAGTGCTGAGGGTGACTGTTACCTGAGTGTCCCGCCCGACCCGGGCATTGCGGCTGCTGCTCTAGGTGCTAGTGCGTCTGCTGCTCCAGGTGCTGGTGCGTCTGCTGCTCCAGGTGCTGGTGCGTCTGCTCTCTCTGGTACTGCACCTACTGAGTCCTTGCACACTTTCACACTTGACTCTAGTGCTTCGCGCTCTTTCTTTCGAGACAGCACCACGCTCACGCCGCTCAGTCGGCCTGTTGCGGTCTCCCTTGCTGACCCCTCCGGGGGCCCAGTCCTTGCACACTCCTCCACGGTTCTACCGTGTCCTGCGGCCCCGTCGGGCTTGCTGTCGGGACTCCACCTCCCCTCGTTCTCTACGAACTTGGTGAGTGGAGCTGACCTCCAGGACGCGTGGGTTGACCAGTTTACCCCTGGAGGTCAGCGTGTGACCCACTGCACTTGCTCTCGGACGGGCCGCCACCTGGCCACGTTCACCCGTCGGCCAGGGTCGAGTCTGTACACACTGACTACTGCGCCTCCTCCGGTCCCTGTGTCTGGTCAGGTAGCTGCGTCTAGTCAGGTGTTTGCTGCCGCGTCCAGGTCTAGTCCTGCGTCTGCCCCCTGCTCGTGTCGTCCTCTGTCGCACGAGACTCTCCTTTGCCACCACCGCCTTGGTCACCCCTCCCTGCCTCGTCTTCGAGGTATGGCCTCCCGTGCCCTTGTCTCTGGTCTCCCCAGGTCCCTCCCTCCCCTTCCTCCGGGGCCTGCCCCCACCTGTGTTCCTTGTGTCGAGGGCCGGCAGCGCGCCGCTCCTCACTCCTCCTCGTTCCCTCCGACAGAGGCTCCTCTGCAGACTCTTCACATGGACGTGTGGGGCCCAGCCCGCGTCCGTGGACAGGGTCACGAGCGTTACTTCCTGCTGGTCGTTGACAACTACTCGCGTTACACCACAGTCTTTCCCTTGCGCAGCAAGGGTGAGGTCCCTGAGGTGTTGATCGACTGGATGCGCGGTGCTCGTCGCCAACTCAGTGAGAGGTTCGGCTCGGACCTTCCTGTTCTGCGTCTGCACTCAGACAGAGGTGGGGAGTTTTCCTCCGACCTCCTGAGAGCCTTCTGTCGTTCGGAGGGCATCCGCCAGACGTTCACGCTTCCGGCCTCCCCGCAGCAAAATGGGATTGCTGAGCGCCGCATTGGCATGGTCATGGACGTCGCTCGTACGTCCATGATCCATGCGGCTGCTCCCCATTTTCTGTGGCCGTTCGCGGTTCAGTACGCTGCGCATCAGATCAACCTTTAGCCTCGTGTCTCCTTGCCGGAGACCACACCTTCTCTGCGGTGGACGGGGAAGGTTGGCGATGCGTCCGCGTTCCGTGTCTGGGGATCTCGAGCTTTTGTCCGCGATACTACAGCGGACAAGCTGTCCTCCCGTGCCGTTCCCTGTGTCTTCCTTGGCTTCCCTCCTGACGCACCCGGGTGGCAGTTCTACCACCCCACCTCGCGTCGTGTTCTGTCCTCTCGGGACGTCACGTTTGACGAGTCGGTGTCGTACTACCGTCTCTTTCCCTACCGCACTGCCTCTCTCCCCCCCCCCGCCGCTCTTCCTAGCACCAGGTACTTCCCCGGTAGACCCCCTCCCCCCCCAGGGTCCTGCCCCCTTAGGTGTGTCCCAGGTAGACCCTGCCGAGCCGGTCGAGGTAGCTGTCGACTCAGGTGCTACTAGGGGTGCTGAGCCTGCGGGTGCGGGGACTGGGGGTGCGGGGACTGGGGGTGCGGGGACTGGGGGTGCGGGGACTGGGGGTGCTGAGCCTGAGAGTGTGGAGCCTGGGGGTGCTGAGTCTGGGCGTGCTGAGCCTGGGGGTGCTTAGCCTGGGAGTGTGGAGCTTGAGGGTACTGTGTCTGGAGGTGCTGAGCCTGCACGTACTGCGTCTGGAGGTGCTCTAGGTGTCCCGTTGCGGCGGGAGCCTCTCTCTCCTCAGCAGCTTCGTGAGTGGTACTCTCGGCGCTGTCGAGGTGCTGCTGGTGCTGGTGCTGCTGGAGCTGCTGTAGGTGCTGCTGGTGCTGCTGGAGGTGCTGCTGGTGCTGGAGGTACTGCTGGTGCTGGAGCTGCTGGAGGTGCTGCTGGTGCTGGAGCTGCTGGAGGTGCTGCTGGTGCTGGAGCTGCTGGAGGTGCTGCTGGTGCTGGAGCTGCTGGAGGTGCTGCTGGTGCTGGAGCTGCTGGAGGTGCTGCTGGTGCTGGAGCTGCTGGTGCTGGAGCTGCTGGAGGTGCTGCTGGTGCTGGAGCTGCTGGAGGTGCTGCTGGTGCTGGAGCTGCTGGAGGTGCTGCTGGTGCTGGAGCTGCTGGAGGTGCTGCTGGGACTGGAGACCCTGGGGCTAAGGGTACCGGTTCTGTCTCTGCTGTTTCTGGAGGCGCTGCGCGGCCGCGGTCGTACTACGTTCCGCTTCTTCAGCAGGTTCTTGGCTCCTCGCCTTCTCCTGGTCCTCCTCCTCCTTTCCTGAGTCCACCACCTGTCCAGTCCCTGTCGCAGTTCCAGCCGGCCTCTCCACTGCCTGGTCCTTCTCCTTACTCTGGACCGACTAGAGGTCTTACGGAGCGTCGTGAGCCTGAGTCTCGTCCTATGTCGCCTGCGTCTCGTTCTGTGTCGCCTGTCCGACCTGTTCGCACTAGTCGTGTTTCGCTTCCGCGTCCTCCTCCTGTCCCTGGCACTCACTCTATGACTCTGCGTCCTTCCACTGCTCCGCAGCGTGTCCCTTTGCCGTCTCCTCCTGCGTCCTCTCTTCCTGCCGGTCCGGACCCTGTGTCTGACTCCCTACGTGTTGCTAGTCCAGCTGTCACGCGTTTTCTGGCCACTGCTGTCACTGACCCTTTGTTTGAGTCCTCTGCTGCGTCTGCTCTTGTTGCTGAGCTTGTTGACTTTGCTGCAGCCTGTCGCCTAGACTACGCCACTAGTCTTGTTGCTGAGTCTGCGTCTACGTCTGTCTGTCCTCCGTCCGTCGGGGGTGAGTGTGCTCTTAGCACGGACGTTCTTGAGGACAGACAGGAGGAGTTTGAGTGCTTTGCCGCTTCTGTACCTCATCTTGTGTCCATGCTGATTGCCCCTGAGGGAGACCCGGATGCACCAGACATCCCGACCCCGCGCTCTTACACAGAGGCGATAGAGGGTCCCTACTCCTCTCAGTGGGAGGCAGCCATGGACGCCGAGATGGCTTCCTGGAAGTCCACAGGCACCTACGTCGACGAGGTTCCCCCGCCTGGGGCGAACATCGTCAGTGGCATGTGGATCTTCAGGGTGAAGCGGCCGCCGGGTTCTCCGCCAGTCTTCAAGGCGCGTTACGTTGCACGTGGTTTCAGTTGTCAAACATATATGCTTAGTTATATCTAGGCTTAGTTCATGTGTTTACATTTGTCTAGGCTATAGTGGGTTTAGCCTTAGGGGGTACAGAATCCTCTCGACATTCTACTTGTACCCTTCCTTGCTTCCTAGTCATTCATTCTCGCCTAAGATTCTAACATCAGTCAGCGACAGGGAGTTGACTTCTTCCAGACCTTCTCCCCTACCCCGAAGATGACCACTCTTCGGGTACTGCTCCACTCCCAGCCTTCCTCCAGGGCAGCCTGCACGAGGAGATCTGGCTGCGCCACCCACCAGGCTTCACTGGGTCGTTTCCTGCTGGTACCCAGTGGAGCCTCCGGCGGCCAGTCTACGATCTCCGTCAGGCACCCCGTGAGTGGCACGACACTCTCAGGACGACTCTTGCTGCTCTTGGCTTTGCTCCTTCCACTTCTGACCCTTCTCTGTTTTTACGCACTGACACTGCTCTGCCGCCGTTCTACGTTCTCGTGTACGTAGACGACCTCGTCTTTGCTACTGCTTTACACTGAGGCACTCGCCCACGTGAATTCCGAGCTGCAGAAGAGACACATGTGCACAGACCTGGGTGAGCTGACAAGCTATCTTGGCTTGCGGATCACCCGGGACAGAGCACAGCGCACCATTACCTTGACTCAGTCACACATGGTGCAGCAGGTCCTTCAGCGCTTCGGCTTCACGTACTCCTCGCCACAGTCCACTCCTCTGCCTACCGGTCACTCACTCTCAGCTCCACCTTCGGACGAGTCCGTAGAGCCGAGTGGGCCGTATCCAGAGCTTGTGGGCTGCCTCATGTACCTGATGACTTGCACACGACCTGGCCTCGCATACCCTCTCAGCCTTCTGGCCCGCTATGTGGCTCCTGGCAGGCACCAAAAGGTGCACTGGGATGCTGCGAAGAGGGTGTTGCGATATATGTGCAGTACATCGGGCATGGGGCTCGTGCTTGGAGGACGGGCTCGAGTTGTCCTCACTGGTCACGCTGACGCCTCCTGGGTTGACGACTTGGCTACGCAGCGGTCGTCACAGGGTTACACCTTCAGTCTTGGCTCCGGTTCTGTCTCTTGGCGGTCTATCCGCTCTTCTTCTGTTCTCAGCTCCAGTTGTGAGGCTGAGATCTACGCTGGGGCCATGGCTGCATAGGAGCTACGCTGGCTCACCTACCTGCTGACCGACTTGGGAGAGGCGCCTCGTTCTCCTCCTGTTCTGTATTCTCACACTTGGAAGGTCCCAACACGTGGTATCTCGACAGTTGTTGCGGCCAGCATATGTGTTCCTCAGAAAACCGTTTCGTCATCAATCAGCGTCATCTTCAGAATCCATGCGTCATCACTGTCGCCAACAACCAACGTCTTACAGCACATTGGATGGGTAACATCATTCTTGATTCTGTTGAAGAAGACTTCAGTCTTCATCTTAACGATGTAGTTCTCGTTCCTCGACTTGGCTATCTGCACAGCATATGCGGAATGGGATTACTCTTCTTGGTGAACCTGGAAATTTTACTTTGAAATATGGAGACACGAAACTCTGCACGGCAGTCGAACAGAACGGTGTATTCGTCCTCAACTTTGTACCTGAGCGCACCACTGCCGACTCCGAAAACATTCTCTCTCTCGGTCCATGGGAGCATCGCGATGACATTGATTACACCGATGATACCGTTCCTCGTGAGGGTGTTGTACCCACGTCTTCAACCACGGCTGCCGCTGTCATGCTGACCTTCGACAATCAAGGCCTGAATGACGTACAGAACTCCAGGGACTATCTTGCTCAAGTTGGTGGTTGGGGAGATATGACGAACATGCCCACGGGTGAAGGCGTTTGGAGGGCACAAGAACCCGACGAAACAACTTGGGGAGAAACACCCGCTGATCGCGATCAACGTCTTCTCACTGAAGCAGAGCAGCGTGTCGCTGACATGGAAGTCCTTGAATCCTGACGACTTGTCGGCGTTGAGCCTAGACCTGCAGCATCAAATCAAGAAAACGGGGAGTTAGTTCTTTCACCTGGCGAATACGTCGACGTTGACATAAAAATTCCACCACCTAACCTTACCAGGTTCATCCCGCCCGTCACAGATCATGTTCGCGCTGACGGTCATCGGCTGCTGTTATCTTTCTTCGCTAACGCCGATTATTATCTGCGCGCACAGGGACACAAAGCTACTGCAGAAACATGGCATAAGCGTCTTGGTCATCCATCGCAGTCTACGCTCAACAATATGATCAAAGCCGCTATTTTCGACAAGAATTCGCTTCTCTTACCTGGCGGCCTCGAAATGAAACCGGTCAATCGTCCGTCACCCTGCTTAATCTGCCCAGCAGCAAATTTACCGCATGAACCGTACCCGTCTCATTTTCCTGGCGCTGAGGATTATTGCTTGATGGAAAAAGTCTACAGCGATATTATCAACTTACCTGCGGAGGGCTTCAATGGCAAAAAATGCGTCATCACGTTTACTGAAGCCTCTACTCGATACGTCTGGACTGGTAACATGACTAACCGTTTTCTTGCCTTCACTGCGTTTCGAACATGGCTGCCTCTTGCTGAACGTGAGTCCGACACCAAACTGAAGTCCTTCCAGTGTGATGGAGCCGGGGAGTATCGGAGTCTCGAGTTTACAACGTACCTGCAAGAGAGAGGCATACGGCGCCTCTTCTCGCTTCCTCACGCTCACCAACAGAGTGGCGTAGCAGAACGCCTCAATCGGACTCTCCAAGAAAAGATGCGAGCTCTGCTCGCCCAATCCCAGCTCGGCCCGCTCTACTGGCCCTTTGCGATGGACCATGCAACACTGTTGCATAATCTTCTGTCTTCGTCGGCTCTACCCAACAACGCATCACCTCACTTGTTATGGACAGGCAAATTGGGCACTACAAAAATTCTTCTAGTTTTCGGGTGTGTTGTGCAATACCGTCCTCCTACCGCTCCGCTCGGAAAATTCGATCAACGTGCTAAGTGGGGTCTTCATCTCGGCCTCGAGAAACAGTTTTATGCCAGGCGTATCATGGATTATCGCAGTCGCCTTCTGGTTCCTGCCCGTGACTGTATTTTCTACGAAAATCTAACCCTTCCCGTCTTCGATTAATATCTCGCCACGCAGCGTGACCCTGCTACTCTTTTCCACGGTGTTCGCTCATTCGCTAGCACCGACGCTGAACTCGCTGCCAGCGAATAACCTGACCTCGACGGTGCACGTGAAGCTGCTCCCGATCCACCTATACCAACCGCTTCTTCCGGATTTCCGGAATTCATTCCTCTCGTCGATGCTCATCCGGAGGACATTCGCGATGTTCATCATACGTACATGGTGGACGACCAACGACGTCCCATGCCAGTTGTAACTGACAGCAGGTTCCGCGTCGATCTTGACGAAATTGGGGGGGCAAGTGGTGAACAGAGTGAACCTGTCAATTTCGCAGGTCGGACCGATGACAGTCCTAATTATCAAACTGGGCTTCAGATACTTGGACTCGCAGCAGCTGTACAGCACAACTCTACAGAGATCGCGGAACCGAAAACTGCCCGACAGGCTCTTTCAGGTCCACATCGCGAAAAATGGTATGAAGCTATGGATTGTGAATTGGCTGCCCTGGAAAAACGGGAGACTTGGGACCTCATACCCATCGAAAAAGCCGTAAATAAAAATGTTCTTACTGGAAAGTGGGTTTTCAGGCTGAAAACAAAGGCTGATGGTTCTCACGAGAAATTTAAGGCAAGGTGGGTTGTTCGCGGTTTTGACCAAACTCCTGGGGTTGATTACACGTTAACTTTTGCCCCAGTCAGCCGACATACAAGTGTTCGTCTCGTCATCTGCGAAGCAGCTGCGAAGAATTTTCCACTTCGACAAATTGGCGTTTCCAACGCGTTTCTGTACGCTGACGTCGATGCTGAAATCTACGTCGAATATCCGCACACCTATCCGACAAATCCGCCAAGTGAATGCAAGCTCAAGAAGTCGTTGTACGGTATCGAACAAGCACCGCGACTGTGGCAGCATCATTTGAACAGAAAACTGACCGAAGTTGGGTTCCGACAACTGCCGCATGATCTCGGGATGTATCGGCTAGACGACAAGGGGAGCTATGCGCTGCTTGTGGCATACGTGGACGGCATTCTCTACGTCAGCTCGTCGGCTTCCTTGGGTGATCGCATCGAAGCAGACTTGAAGAAATCTCTCGATTTAACTGTCTCCACCGAAGTGACCCAATTTCTTGGGTTAAATGTTTCACGAACTTCCTCCGCCATCCATCTCACAGCATCGAAGTATGCTGAGTCACTCGCTAAGCGCTTCAAAATTCCTACAGATTACGTCGCTACACCCTATCGATCTACACCCACCGAGCACGTCCTAAACAACACCAAACTTTCAGCAGCTGGCCTACAACTGTACCAGCAGCAACTCGAGTGTCTTCTCTTCGCAGCAGTCACATGCTGCCCCAACCTTGCATACCTCGCAAGTTACCTCGCACAGTTTCTACGCTGCCCGAAAGAAGAACACCACCTTGATCTTCAGCGTGCTCTGCATCACTTCGTCGCAACACCAACAGTCGGGCTGGTCTTCAACACAGGAAAACCAGCCGACAAAATGTACCTCAGCGGATATGTCGACGCAGACCACGCCGGTGACACGTCAGATCGTCGATCACGAACCGGCTACGTCTTCCGTCTCGAGCCAGTTGGTCCGATGTCGTGGAACTCGTCGAAACAAGAACTCGTGTCACTTTCTTCGGCTGAGGCAGAGTTCATTGCCGCATGTGCTGCAACCCGAGAAGGATTATACTTACAGGAACTGCTCGACGAAGCAAAATTTCGTCACGCCGAATCAGTTCACGTTGCAGTGCGACAACCAGAGTGCAATTACCATCGCCAACAAGCCTGGCTTCGTCAATCGCACAAAACATATCTCACTGCGTTACT